GAGGAACCCTTATTAATTTGACTGAAAAGAGCTGTGAAGAAGGCTGGGCCAGGGGCTGGAGGGGAGTAGAGGTGCTTTGGGATCATACTCGCAGAGGCCCTGGAGTAAGCCTCGCCCTTCCTCTTATCCCCTCCCTTTGCACTTTTCAACCCTTTGAAAATGATAAAGATTTCTGAAATCCTGATGGCCCAAAAGGAAACCTGAAGGAAGACAAAAATCAAGCCAGATCTTTGACCTATAACTTGCTCAAAGCTACACTGCCTTGAGTCTGAACATCTGATATATTTCTACTACATTAAGCCCCACAGCCCTGCTCCCTTCATTTTGTAGCTCAATAATCATAATTGCAATCAGTCACAAAGAATTTACTTCTAAACAGGAAATCAGGTGTGGGTTGGGGCGCTGCTGCTCAACATTTGGGTACCATGAGAAACAAACCGCATCTCAACGCTAAGTGAGGGGTGAAATCCATTTGACTTAGCAGAATGCTGACTCGTGTTACTGTTAGCTGCCGTTGAGTCGGCCCGACTTGCGGTGACCCTGTGCCCAGCTCAATGAAAAGCTGCCTGGCCCTGGGCCATCACATGTTCTGTCACAGATCAATTTCCTTCACTGGGCTCTCACTGCTGATTTTTGGAAATATGTAACATGTCACTGTTGAATAAGCATTTGACTCATAACACAAGATCAGAAGTTCAAAGCTACAGCTGACCCGAGGGAGTAAAGATTGGCAGCCTCAGAAAGCCAATCGGGGCTCTCTATCAGTCAGAATTGATTCACTGACAGCGGGCTTAGCTTGGGTCTTGATTATTCTTAGTTTTTCTTAAATGCATAATAAAAAGCTTGCCATTTTAACCATTGTTAAGAGTGCAATTCAGTGGCATTTGTATGTCACCATGTGACATGTTAGTCACCGTGTTTTCGCACCACTATGCATGCCCAAAAGTTTTAGATCACACCCAACAGAAACTTCGTTCCCTTTCGGCAAAAACTTCCTGTGACTCCCCTAGTCCCAGGAAACCACTAATAAACATTTGTGTCTCTGCATTTGTCTATTCTAAATCATTTCATTTACACGAGGCCATACAGTTTTCATGCGATCCGACTTGCGTCTGATACTTCAGTCAGTGTTATGTTCTCTAACGTTCATTCATGTCATAGCATGTATTTGAACTTCATTTCTCTTCAGGGCTGAGTTACATTCCATTCTATGTATGTACCATATTGTTTATTCACTGTGTGCTGATGAAAAATGGGATGGGCTATTGTGAATATCACGGCAAAAAATAACACAAAACATTGGTGCGTGAGTATCTGTTTAGTCCCGCAAAATTTCACGGTTAACTCTGAGGAACCGCCAAACTAATTCCCACGTGGCTGCACCAGGTTGCATCCCTGCCAGCAATGCACCAATACTTGTTAGTTTCCAGTTTTCTGATGAAAGAAATTTTATAGAGTTTAAGACAGGAACTGATTTTTTTTTCTTTACGAAAAATGTTAGTTTCTAATAGACTCTTTATTCATAGAATGGCCATTCGTATTCTTAACATTTTCAATAAAAGACCTCAACCCTGACCTACAACCTCAGTAACACAGAATAAACCTTCCCACTTGATATAATCTGGCGCTGCCAAAATGTCATTAAAAACTTTTGCAGAAGGTAGGGGTCATACTGAAGGTTGTTAATGAGCCTTCTGTCATTACTGATGTTACATTCTTCTTCATATAGACCAGCTTCTTGAATTTTTTGCTCAGCATATAGATTTAATAACTATGATGAAAGAATAAAACCCTGACACACATCTTTCCTTCTTTTAAACCAATATTCTCTGGGTCTGTTCTGACGACTTGGATTGAGTACAGGTCTATGGGGGTCCTCAAACTTTTTAAACAGGGGGCCAGTTCACTGTCCCTCAGACCCGTTGGAGGGCCAGCCTGTAGTTTAAAAAAAAAACTGTGAACAAATTCCTATGCACACTGCACATATCTAACTTTGAAGTAAAAAAACAAATGGGTCAAAAACACCCGGCGGGCCACATGTGGCCCGTGGGCTGTAGTTTGAAGA